TCCTCCACAATTGTGCTCAGTGGCTCAATAAATATTGCTTATTGTATTAGAATAAATACACTTTCTGTAGCTTTTTGATAATTGTCACTTGAGCCCTAATTATTATGGAAAAATATATTGTAAAATAATTTCATGAAGGGTCTCTCCCAGGTGTTCTCAATGAATAACTATCTTGAAACTCTGCCCTTACTATGAAGTGCTAAGGTGCTATACAGAATGTGTTTTGACGGATTAGCTATTGATCTATAAAAAAAAAAAAAATACAGTCTGTTGTTAAATAGAGCAGGTGATGCAATAAGGGTGAGGCTGTAAAATGATAACTGATATTCAGTAAGTGCAAAGTTCACTCATTCATGGAGAACAATGTTTACATACAAGGAAAGGAGTAATTTGATACTGAATGCAGGTTATATAAATCCATTTATTTTACTGAATGCATACATACATACACACATTATATATATTATGAGTTAGCAATAAATAATGAAGCCAATAACCATCAATGCGTGCAAGATACATGATTTTAGTACTTAAAAATACTGAATTATTTTAACAAGTCACCCATTAGCAACCTGACCACCTGTTATATTGTTCTCCAACCAGATTCATCCTCTATAATTCAAATCTCTGCCTCTCTCAAACCACTACAACATTACATCAAATAAAAGCCTGTCTCCTTTACTGCTTTGATCCCTGACAACACAACAATCCACAATTGCAGCTCTTTTAAACTTAAATTTTCCCACCATTAAGTTTCTTGGAACAGCAAGTAGCCAATCATTATGCCTGTCACTCTATATCTACTACCTGCACACACCACCTGTCTTAAATCTGGGCAGAAGTAGCAAATCTACACAGATTTGGAATGTTATGGAATGTTAACTGCTATACAGCAACTTTTGTATATGTTGTCACAGGGCATATTGACTGGGGCATCACATTTATTCGGTATGGCAGTGGGTACCTATTTCAAGATGATGTTGTGCCTAAGATGGCCAGACGAAGAACCATCTGTGTGCAACTATTATGATAGTCTAAGAAAGTCAGTACTATTTATCCTTTAAGTGTATTGATTTCCAGGGGCTAGGTTTTTGCATTTGGCAGTCATCTTTGGCCCAGATGCTCCTTGCATTTCCCTTTATGTTAAATCTGACTCATTATTTGGGGTATCACAGTTCACTGCCTGCACAATTTTTCTCAAAACTTTTTTATTATTATTAAAGTATATTTTGCGCATTGCACAGAAAGCCCTTTTAAAAACGATTTGTGCTGGGCCTGTACTCATTACGATGGAGACCCTGGTTTGGAACCCTCCTTAGTCCCTGTTAGATTATCCTACTATCCTGGTATTTACTCCAGGCTTTAACTCTGCTATTATTATTATTTATTTATTTTTTATAAAGGCAACAGGTCAACATTGTTTATACAGTCGGATACATACTAAATAGTAAAATAATTAGAAGCTATGCTTGGGCTCTGTTCTTGAGTGTTTATAATCAAGAGTGCTGAGGTATTCACAATATTTGTCAAATGGACACTCCAGGCGTCACTAAAACTTTTATACATTTGATATGTTTTTGACCTCATTAATATGCTGTATTTTATTGCATGCCCAAATTGTTATAGGTTTTGCAAGAATGCTGATCCATATGCCGGCCTCTTTAGCCACACACCCCCAATACAGCAAAATACTTCCTTATCAAATGTATGCACACAGCAAAGCCACTGACAGTACTGAATAATCTGAGCCACAACGCAACCTGCATGAGAAGGAGAGGACACCCATGGAGACCTATCGTAATTATATCAATTCCTATTTATAGATTCTTTGATTGTCTGCAGTCATTCACCACTGCTCATTGATGCACAGGCTAATGCTCAAGCAGCAACAAGCAACAAAGGATGGATTGCTGGGCATTTTTACTAAGCATTAAAATATAAAACAGCTTAGCGCTGAGTGGAAGAATGGCACCAGGGGACTCCAGACACTATAACCACTTCAATGAGATGACTTGGTTACAGTGCCTACCGTGTCCCTTTAACAATGATTTATGGGTAAGGGGAACCTGTCCTTAATGGGTTTTTTAACCCCTTAAGGACCAAACTTCTGGAATAAAAGGGAATCATGACATATGGAATATATTAGAATATCTTATATAGAAATTAAGTGCTAGACACATCTATGAAACAATTCCAGAGCAGGACAACATCCATAAAAATGGTGGAAATGGAATGTAAATGGCAGGGAAGAGAGGGAAAGTTTATTAGAAGACTATAGAGGAGATACAGAAATGGGAGTTAAGTAAAATAATGCAATGTGAATAGTATGTATGTAGAGATGGCAATGGCATGCATGGTGATTTTGGAGGGAACAAGAGGAAAACTACCCTCCCCCAACAGCAGCTGTAGATTAAGGTAACCCCATTGCTGATTGTATCAGTGTTGCTTGGAGGGTCAGTGCCGTAAACAGTCATTTAACAACAGCTAACAGTTTCTTTAACCCCTTAAGGACACATGATGGAAATGTTCCGTCATGATTCCCTTTTATTCCAAAAGTTGTGTCCTTAAGGGGTTAAACATTAGCTGTCCTGAAGTATTTTTTTGTATGATAGTAATGCTCACAATCCACACTAACAGGGCTATTCACTAACGTAAGAATTCAAAGTGAGTAGAGGCCAGAGTAGCTGAAATTATAGCATTGTTGGCTTAGAGAATTTTTGAATCCTCATTTTAGTGAATAACCCTGTTGGTGTGGTATATACTGCCCCTGCAATATTCCATATACTTTTCTCCTCAGGCTTGCTTAAATAATAGAGCCCCTGAAACAAGATAAAGTGTGCTATGACATTGCCTAGTGGTCAATCCCAGACTAGGCAGTACTAGTTATTTAATTTATTTATAAATCCTCATAATTATGCCACAGCTTTACCAAGCCGTGGAAAGTGATATATAAGCTAATATACACAGACTTAAATTAATATAAGCATAGATACTTAAGAAATGTCATTTTAAGTCATACATCTACTATCTGTCAAAATAAATCCTATGATTAACCCCTTCGTGACGCTAGACGGAAATTTTGCATCATTCTTGTCCTACTGTTAAGGACGCATGACGGAAAATTTCCGTCATTTACTAAAGTTAACCCCAGATCACCAGGATCGTGGGGTTAACGCTGCTCTGGTCTGCCTCTGTATCTGAGGCACATCGGGAGCACCAGATCTCACTGTCCCTGCAGCTGTGATCCTTCTAACAGGCTGTCAGAGCGAGCATATGTACTGCAGGGACTCCTGGTCCACCTCCCTGTGCTTCAGCGATCAATGTGAAGTGCAGAAAGACGAATCAGTGATGATCCTCCCACCCACCCCTTTACCCTGCTTTAATAAAATTAACCCCCTGCCTGCCAATTGATGACATCACTGACTGCAGTGATCAATTGGCAGGGACTACATTTTACTGTGATCTGATTTTGTTTAGTTTTTTTACCCCTGAGGGTTAACTTTTATTTATTTTTAACCCTTAAGGGGTGAAATTTATTTTATTATTAATTTAAATATATTTAGCTAGCTGGGGTGGGTGGAAGTTAGTGGGGAATTGGGGAATTTGGTGTTAAACTAGCAAGGGGTTAACGTTAAAAAAAGTTTTTAAAAAAACTTGAAAACGTTTTTTACATTTAAAAAAAATATTTTATTAACGTTTAAAAAAAAGTTTAAAAAAAATCCCATCCCCCTTTACCCAGTCCTAATAAAAATTAACCCCATTCCCTGCCAGTTGATCACTGCTTTCAGTGATCAAAATACAGATCTCAGTATTATACAGTATTTTTTTAACCCCTGAGGGATACTTTTTATTTTCATTTTTTAACCCTCAGAGCTTCAATTTATTTAATTAATTAATATAAATATTTTAAAATTATATATTTTGCTAGCTGGGGTAGGTGGGAGTTATGGGAAATTGGGGAATTCACTGTTAGTGCTGCTTACTGCTAGTTATTATTATTATTATTTTATTATATATATTGCGCCAGCAAATTCAGTAGCACTGTACAATGGGTATACTAACAGACACGTAATTGTAACCAGACAAATGGACGCACAGGAACAGAGGGGTTGAGGGCCCTGCTCAATGAGCTTACATGCTAGAGGGAGTGGGGTATAGTGACACAAAGGGTATAAGTAGGGGTAATTAAATAGGTTGGTAGAACAGTATTAACTGAGAAGGCCCTGGAGCCTCCAGCACCAGCAGCCCTGCAGAGCTATCAGACCCACCTCAACAGCACTGAGGCACTACCTCACGTCTGCACACTCCCAGAGGGAGTGTAATTAGCTACCAAGCAAGACACCCCGAAGATTCCTCGTGGACATTAAGTCAATGCTCAGAGCGGATATCAAGGTAGTTAAAGAAGATGTTAAAGCAATCACTACGGCCACATTATGGCCACATTATTACCTCCACACTTGGCCAGAAAGCTGACACTCGATGGGACATACCGATCACAAATGTCCCGACTGCCCCTCCTACCGTGACACGGGACATCATCCGCTGTGCTTCCCACCAAGACAAGGGTCATATAATGGTTGCTGTACGAGACAAAGCACCACTCTTATTTGAAAACGCTCATCTCACATTCTACAATGACCTTACCAGAGCGACACATCAATGAAGAAGATCCCTGAATTCAGTAACCGGTTGACTGAAAGATGTTGGACTGACCTACCGATGGGAGTCCTCGAAGTCCCTGTATGTGACACAAGCGTGGATATGTGCATAAGCTTACATCTCTTGCTGAGCCACCGTGATTTCTACGAGACCTGGGTATACCCACTCAGGCTGCTGAGGAGAACACAGCTTAAGCGGCTGGGACATGGAACCCCACTCGGGTGGTCTCTTTTATTCCGAGGGGAACAGGAACAGCCCAACCAGGAACTTGACTGTTATGGCAAATGGAGCAGTTGCAGGCTGCAGGCTGCATTTTCTAAATACTTTCATTAGTCCCTAGCCTTATCTTATAGTTAGGATAGCCTTATGCCTATCCCACGCATGCTTAAACTCCTTTGCTGTGTTAACCTCTACCACTTCAGCTGGAAGGCTATTCCATGCGTCCACTACCCTCTCAGTAAAGTAATACTTCCTGATATTTTTAAACCTTTGTCCCTCTAATTTAAGACTATGTCCTCTTGTTGTGGTAGTTTTTCTTCTTTTAAATATAGTCTCCTCCTTTACTGTGTTGATTCCCTTTATATATTTAAATGTTTCTATCATATCCCCCCTGTCTCGTCTTTCCTCCAAGCTATACATGTTAAGATCCTTTAACCTTTCCTGGTAAGTTTTATCCCGCAATCCATTAACCAGTTTAGTAGCCCTTCTCTGAACACTCTCTAAGGTATCAATATCCTTCTGAAAATACGGTCTCCAGTACTGTGTACAATACTCCAAGTGAGGTCTCACCAGTGTTCTGTACAATGGCATGAGCACTTCCCTCTTTCTACTGCTAATACCTCTCCCTATACAAGCAAGCATTCTGCTAGCATTTCCTGCTGCTTTATTACATTGTCTGCCTACCTTTAAGTCATCAGAAATAATCACCCCTAAATCCCTTTCCTCATATGTTGAGGTTAGGACTCTATCAAATATTCTGTACTCTGCCCTTGGGTTTTTACGTCCAAGATGCATTATCTTGCACTTATCCACATTAAATGTCAGTTGCCACAATTCTGACCATTTTTCTAGTTTACCTAAATCATTTGCCATTTGGCTTATCCCTCCTGGAACATCAACCCTGTTACATATCTTAGTATCATCAGCAAAAAGACATACCTTACCATCAAGACCTTCTGCAATATCACTAATAAAAATATTAAAGAGAATGGGTCCAAGTACAGATCCCTGAGGTACCCCACTGGTGACAAGTCCAAGCTTCGAATATATTCCATTAACTACAACCCTCTGTTGCCTGTCACTCAGCCACTGCCTTACCATTCAACAATATTGGAATCCAAACTTAAAGATTGCAGTTTATTGATAAGCCTTCTATGTGCAACAGTGTCAAAAGCCTTACTGAAATCTAGGTAAGCAATGTCTACTGCACCACCCTGATCTATAATTTTAGTTGCCCAATCAAAAAAATCAATAAGATTAGTTTGGCATGATCTCCCTGAAGTAAACCCATGTTGTCTCTGATCTTGAAATCCATGTGTTTTTAGATGTTCATCAATCCTATCCTTTAACATGGTTTCCATCACTTTCCCCACTACTGAAGTAAGGCTTACTGGCCTATAGTTGCCCGACTCCTCCCTATTACCTTTCTTGTAAATGGGCACAACATTCGCTAACTTCCAATCTTCTGGGACTACTCCTGTTAACAATGATGGGTTAAATAAATCTGTTAATGGTTTTGCTAGTACACCACTAAGCTCTTTTAATAGCTTTGGGTGCATTCCATCAGGTCCCATTGACTTATTCGTCTTTACTTTTGACAGTTGAAATAGAACCAATTCCTCTGTAAACTCACGTGTAATAAATGACTCATTTATCCTTTTTCTCAACTGAGGTCCCTTTCCTTCATTTTCATCTGTAAATACAGAACAAAAATATTCATTGAGGCAGTCAGCTAAACCTTTATCCCCTTCTACATACCTTCCTTCTTTTGTTTTTAATCTAACTAATCCTTGTTTTACTTTTCTTTTCTCATTTATGTATCTAAAAAATGTTTTATCACCCTTTTTTACTGACTGTGCTATTTTAATTCATTGATGGGTGTCAATGCTTAATTCATTGACACCCATTAGTTTACTTTGTATTCCGCTACCATTGTTTCTTTACCCTGCTCCGGATCCCCATGCCGCAGGCACACACTTTCTCCCTGTAATCACGGCAGTCACACTCAACTTCGATGAGCTAACTCAGCTCCACGCTACATCTATGTTATACCAACTCCCCCCTGCTTAGGCTAGGGGGTAATCCAGCATATATGTAATCCTGTAGTACAGACACTTTTGACATCCTGTAACAGAACAGAGCTCCTCTGAGGTGTTATTTGAACAGTCAAACTGCTATAACACCCCAAAATGAGACATAGGCCCATCAAATCCATCTATGAAAATTCTAACTATAGAAACGGAAATAGCATTGTCTCTTATATGGCATTGTAGCTTCACAGAATAGTGCCAAAGGCATACAATGGGGGCATCATTACACAGTAGATGTATCTGAACAAAATATGGGGTTCTGTGCGGCAATAGCACACACCAGCTTTAAGAAATACACATTACAAAAACCTTGTTATATGTGTATATGCCAAAATAGAGAAAAAACACAATTTTACTCCAATATTTAGCAGAGATTGGCGATGAAATGGCTACGTAAAAAGTATTAAAATAATCCTAGGTAAATAGCCTGTGATGTCTACTTTATATAAATATATACACTGCTCAAAAAAATAAAGGGAACACTTAAACAACACAATGTAACTCCAAGTCAATCACACTTCTGTGAAATCAAATTGTCCACTTAGGAAGCAACACTGAGTGACAATCAATTTAACATGCTGTTGTGCAAATGGGATAGATAACATGTGGAAATTATAGGCAATTAGCAAGACATCCCCAATAAAGGAGTGGTTCTGCAGGTGGTGACCGCAGACCACTTTTTAGTTCCTATGCTTCCTCGCTGATGTTTTGGTCACTTTTGAATGCTGGCGGTGCTTTCACCCTAGTGGTAGCATGAGACGGAGTCTACAACCCACACAAGTGGCTCAGGTAGTGCAGCTCATCCAGGATGGCACATCAATGCGAGCTGTGGCAAGAAGGTTTGCTGTGTCTGTCAGCATGGAGGTCCAGAGCATGGAGGCGCTACCAGGAGAGAGGCCAGTACATCAGGAGATGTGGAGGAGGCCGTAGGAGGGCAACAACCCAGCAGCAGGACCGCTACCTCCGCCTTTGTGCAAGGAGGAACAGGAGGAGCAGTGCCAGAGCCCTGCAAAATGTGCATGTGTCTGCTCAAACGTTCAGAAACAGACTCCATGAGGGTGGTATGAGGGCCCGACGTCCACAGGTGGGGGTTGTGCTTACAGCCCAACACCGTGCAGGACGTTTGGCATTTGCCAGAGAACACCAAGATTGGCAAATTCGCCACTTGCGCCCTGTGCTCTTCACAGATGAAAGCAGGTTCACACTGAACACATGTTACAGACGTGACAGAGTCTGGAGACGCCGTGGAGAACGTTCTGCTGCCTGCAACATCCTCCAGCATGACCGGTTTGGCAGTGGGTCAGTAATGGTGTGGGGTGGCATTTCTTTGGGGGGGCCGCACAGCCCTCCATGTGCTCACCAGAGGTAGCCATTTTTTAATTTTTGTGTGATTTTGTTGTAAGCACATTCAACTATGTAAAGAACAAAGTATTTCAGAAGAATATTTAATTCATTCAGATCTAGGATGTGTTATTTTTGTGTTCCCTTTATTTTTTTTGAGCAGTGTACTTTTCTGTGGCAATTCTTTTTTCTGTGATGGCTACTAAACCTATGAATTTATGTTGAATTACTTTTTGTAAGCTGGCCATATTATGTACGCGCTATAATTGCCAAAACTGTGAAAATTGTTTATTTTTTCCCCATTTTATTGGCCCTTTTTTTATAATTAATGAGAATTTATCTATGTATATGTGTCATCAAATTAAAACCCTTTTTGTCCTCTAAAAATACAGTATATAATATGTGTTGGTGCAATAAATGACATAGATGCAAATTGAGCACTGTGGTGGCCATACCGAGAGAAGAGGGGTTTCCGCCACCAGAGATGTCCTTTCCCCCTAGTATAAGTAATGCTGTAGTATTCCCAAGCAGTAATCCAAGCGGTCTCTTTCGGGAGTACGAAATATAACAAAATGATGAAGATAACCGTTCGTATATAAGTGGGTCGTGTGCCCCTTGTTCGGGAGTTTGATCCTACCAAATTGCCGCTTCTCTCATACGAATAGAAATGAACATATGTGGAAGTGGAAGTCCCAGCTGTGTTCACGCCGTAGAGTGTCCGCTAATAGTTCCATACACTTGACGACCAAACACCGTTGGGTGCGTTCGCACACCAAGATGTCCATATGAACGGTGGTGAAGGTGTTAGTGAAGTCAAGTAGGTTAATGAGTGGCACACAACTGTTCTGGGTGGTCTATCCGTTCGTATACCGATCCAGTCAATGCAAAGTAAGAATTTAGGAACAGGGAGATCTTTTACAAACACAAACAGCAAAAAATGCAAAAATGCGAAGCTGTGCCCTTAAGCGGTTACTGAACAGAGCATAGTACCTGTGTATATATTTTGTTAACAGTCACAAAAAATGTTTTAAGATGTTATTAATATTACATTTGGGCCTCCCTGCTGGGAAGCAAATTATGCTATTGGCAAATTAGGCATATATCCAAATCTCCTCTCATTTAGTGGATTTCTTCACTAGCTATAACACATTAGAAAGATTTTAAATGATACAAAATGAACAGTCAGTGACAGGTTTTGGCAGAATATTGCATCAGTAAATGTGTGTGTTCTTACAACGGAAATCACTAAACAAAGGACAAGGTTAGCAAAAAAAAAAATAACAAAAGACCAGAGGCTATATAGGAGCAGGACAAACTGGTTTGGTGACTTTTTTTCTTCTCAGTAATCTGCATTTAACAAAAAAAGTGAAAACTAATAGTGGAGAATTACTTGGGAAGAAATTACCTCACAGATGTGAGGGCTGCTTTTGCAGAATTAGCAATCTGTTCCAAACTAAATACAATCTCAGGGTTGCGTTGAAAAGTTGTGTCAGCCCTTGCTTTGTGATAATCAATGTCAATATTTGCTTGTTAATACAGTACCTATGGGTAGTGACAGCTATTGTAAAGATCCATAAACAATATATTAAACGCAGCTATGCATTTTAGGAGTGGATTACAAGATAGCTCAAGCAATGTGCTGGAAGATGATTCTAACTTAATAAAAAGTTTTTTTGTTTTTTTTAAATCAACATATTTTACCATGGTTTAAGATGTGTGCAGTCCACGTGGCACAGACTAGGTCAGGCAAGTTTCAGATTGTTAAGGAGCTTGGTCTGCAAATTTAGATTAATGAAATAATTCAAGAAGATCTGGCGTAATCAGGTGAGATCTGGCGTAATCAGGTGAGTTCAGTTGTGGTTGAACTACAAATCCCAAGATGCTCAACCATCATACTAATAGAAAAGTTGTG